GTTGCAAGGGTTGATTAGGGGTCCACCGGGCTACCCTCTTGCGCAGAACACTAGATTTGGCTGGATCCTGTCTGGTGAAGTTGAAGAAGCAAGCAGCCATTCTGAAAAGTGTCACAACATTATTGTTAGTTTGCACTCAGCTCATTCAAACGAGAATATGCTCTCACGGAAGTTCTGGGAGTTGGAGTCTGACCATTACGATGTCGAAAAAACATTTTTAACAGAAGAAGAGCAGTTGTGTGAAAGATTGTTCGCGGAAACGACTCATAGAGAAGAATCTCGTCGTTACATTGTTAGCTTGCCCTTTCGCACATCGGATCCGAAATGTAAATATGGTGACTCGAAACAAATTGCCCAGAAAAGGTTTCTTATTTTAGAAAAGCGGTTTTTACGAGACCCTGATATGAAAAAAGAGTACATCAAGGCAATCAATGAATACTTGGATCTCGGCCATGAGGAGAAGGTCGAGACTAAAGAAAAAGCAGATGCGGTTTATTTGCCACATCACGCAGTAGTGCGAAATGATAAGCTTACCACCAAGTTGAGAGTTGTCTTCGATGCATCGTGTCCGGGAACAATATGTGTCGTTGCAGACATAATTAAAATGTATCGACAGGTTAAGGTGTCTAAAAGAGATGGCGATTTTCAACGCATCCTGTGGCGTGAAAACCCAGAAGATCAGTTACAGCATTTCCGTCTTCTTCGGATGACTTTCGGCACATCCTCGGCTCCATACTTACGTACCATACTTCAGCGTTGGTTCACCAATAGTACCGAATTGTTGAATCACAAACAGGAAGATCACCTACGAGCAACCGAAGAACACCTGGAACTCATCAAGCAGGTGTCGATTCCGAGGCTCGAGCTTTACGCACTGGCTTGGCTCAGGAGCCACTCAAGTCGTTGGAAAACTTTCATAGCCAATAGAGTGTCGGACATACTTACGGTTCTGGATGAAGATCAGTGGTGCCATGTATCGACGAAGCAGAATCCTGCCGATTGCGCGTCCAGAGGCGCAAACCCATCAGTACGCCCTGAAGTCAAGATTTGGAAGCAGGGCCCGGCGTTCCTGAAACATATAAACATTGATTATAAAAGAGAGGTTATGGATACAACAATGGAAGAAAGAAAGCTAAAATGTCACACTACAACAAGCAATAAAACAGAGAGTAGTATACTTAACAAGTATTCGACGTCAACACGACTTACCAGAGTTGTAGCTTACTGTATGTTTTTGTCTCCAAATTTTGGAAGATTGTGGAAGGCAGGAGTGAAGTCAACCAAACACCATCTTCGGAGAATAGTAGGTAATAGCACACTGACGTTCGAAGAGATGACCACCCTTTTGGCTCAGATTGAAGCCTGTTTAAATTCAAGGCCCATCTCCCAGTTACCGACATACCCGGATGATCCATACCCTCTGACCCCTGGTCATTTTTTAATAGGAGAACCACTAGTTGTGGTCCCTGATAGGAACTATGAGGACTCAAATGTCTCCTCACTGAAGAGGTGGCATCTTACGCAGCGCATGCTTCAAGACTTTTGGCGTAGATGGTCACAGGAGTATCTTACTCAGTTACAACATCGGTACAAATGGACAGATCAGGTTTCGGAACCCAAAGTAGGCGATGTTGTGCTTATTCGTGAAGATGATCTTCCACCGGCAAAGTGGCTTTTTGGCGTTATCGATAAGAAGCATACTGGTTTGGACAACCTTACGAGGGTTGTTAGCGTAAGATGCAAGGACAGCGTCATAAAGCGACCATTGTCAAAATTAGTAATATTACCTGTTACTTAATTATTAAATTTAATATTTTTATTATACAGTCCACTAGAATAATTGCTATCATTGTAATCATAAGTTTAATTTGTGTTAATTTTAATTTTTATCTTTCTCGATTTTATTTATGTTGCAATGTGACCGTACAATTGTTTTACTATGTTTATGTTTGTTATTTCTTTAATTATTCATTAAGTTTGTTCTTGTATACTTTTTCGTTCCGGCATGGTGGGCGGACAGTTGCTATTGTTTAATTTGATTTTGCGCCCGATTATGGAGCATTGTACAACTGCCTGTAATTTTGTAAATGTCTCAAATTTTTGTATAGTTGTGATGGACATGCTGTCCATGGTGGGCGGTATGTTAATGTCTTGTAAAGCAAATTGGCAATAAAATGTAGTTTTATTACTCAACACTAGATGGCGCTGTACCGTTTAAGTGCCCACTATAGGTTTGCCGCGTTGTTATGATGCGCTTGCGACAAGCGACGAATAAAGTTGGCTCATTCACCCGATACTGAAGTTTTATTTTACCGCATCGGTCTGTTCGGGGTTTTTTGGGATTCTGTACATTACTCGAAACTTTTATTTTTTAATTTAGCACGGACAAGTTGCGAGCAAAAAATATGAGATGAGTTGAAGTTATTGATTGAACCATTTATTAATAAAAACTAGTACCATATCTGCTGTTTTTTTTTTTAATCTTAATTCGGCACAAAACAAAACTATTATAATAAAGTGTAAACACACACTTCTTTGTTGCCTAAGATGTCATCAATTACAGCACGTTTATGAATAACTCTTTTTTTAATAAAAGCCCTACACTTGCGTCACGCTTTAGGCTATGTATTCTAACGTCATTAAACTCCGGGGGTAAATATTTTGGATAAAAACCCTAATGTGGGAAAGATACCATAAGTTGCTGCCAACATCAAGGAAGCAAGGTTGTCATCATGTCATGTCATTTTGACATTTGTAAATGATATTTTGACAAAAGTAAACAATACGATAAAATTTTCATAATTTAATGCGGATGAAGTCGCACGGGAACAGCTAGTCGTAAATAAAACAAAACAGTTGAAAAGCCAGTATAAGAATAAACAAAAGACACGAATAGTGTCAAATCTTTTCTCGCATAATATGTATATTACGCTCATGAAGCCCCGACCTTTCCTTCGCTTTTGTTTCTGCATCACAAATTAGCTTATCTTTTTATAGGACGTGTCGGTTGAATTTTAAATGCAAAAGTAACTTAATTCTACCAATTTGTACCTGGATTTTTGTAACCGTTGTTTGTAGTGTAGCTACGGAATAAATTGGTCAAAATTTAAAGACAAAGTTATACAAGTAAGAGAAGCAAAATTACAAAATTTATAAGACCCTAGTTTCTTTATCATCTATTTATGTTATGTATATTTTACTACACCTTTAGCTAATTACTGGGTTAAAATTAAAAACAAATTTAATCCAACAAAGTATTCTTGTTTATCCAAAATTTTCCTATAGCAATTTTAGCATAATTTTATTTTTTTGTACAAAATTAATTTCATTCCGCACATCCCACGGAAACAAATCCCACAGGTTTTACGAGGTTAAGATATAAAAAGGAACATTTACTCTCCACCCCTGATATTCGCCAAACGTATTCCTTAATAAAGGTTTTTTTATAGAATACTTTTCTTAACATAGTCAACACACAGATCTATGACATTTTACAAATATTGTTTCAAAGTAGAACAAACTTTAACATTAGATGAACTTAAAGTTGGATCAGTTAAGAGCTAAGTATTCTAAGTTAGCTGCAGTGGTCCTACAGTTGAACCAATTTCGCCAATCAACTTGTAATTCAACTCCAAGTCTAGGAGAAGTTTTAAACAAGATTCCTTGTTATCACTCAAACCGACTGATCTCAAAGAAACGTCGATTCTCGACCGATTTTGCCGGAATTAAACAATGTTAGACTTCATTTTACTGTTAAACTAATTTACTTGACACAAAGATATCATAACTAATATTAAAGCAATAAATCTTGAATGTTAAGCTACAATGTTTTGTTGAGTGAATCATCTATAGTAAATTTTGTTTATTTTTTTGACTATCTTGATGAAGAAAAGAGCGTACTCCTAAAGACCAGCTACGCATCTGCGGTTCTTCTGGCATTGTGAATGTCCATGGACGTCTGATCAAATAGGATTACTCAATCCTCTGCTCGTTGGTTCCCATCTTCTATTTAAATACTACCTTCCGTGTAAAATGGAATAAAAACGAAAGTGAGTGGCTTATGTGTTCTTTCAGATTATGCTCTTTGCCAAATTTAATCGAGATCTGTCCCGAAGTTTAGGCTACAAACTCTAACAAACATCCATCCATCTAAACTTTTGCATGTAACATAAGTAAGATTGACAAAGAGTATAATTGCCAAATTAAAGAGAAGAAACATTAGGTAAGAAACCTACGAGAATATTATAAAATAAAAGTTAAGTATTATGCTTTCAATGCTTTATATCAAGGACGATAGTGACGTCGAATGTATGCAAAAGTCAAAGGTTTTTGTCACAAAACAATGTATACGGGTCGAACAAAATATGCGAGAACATAAATTCAACCTTAAAGTTGGCGTTTTTATGTCGGCGCACTGAGGAAACTTTTTGTTTGGGCAATAAACCGGTTTACGTCCCATGCCGTTTACAAGCTAGCTGCGAGATGGAACAAGACGAAGGGAAAATAAAGGCATAAAAATAAACATAAATTATCATTGAGATATTCAAAACCATATTGCTTTATTCACAGTTTTTGGAACTTTAGATTAATTGATTTTTCGTAGATATGTAATGAAAAATATAGTAACTTTTATTTTCAGTTCTGAATACATAATTGTAGAGATAAACCAAGCATGTAACTTTCTAAAAAAAATAAGTTTATTGCTAATTTTGTAAGTATGAATTAAGTTACAAAATATTTAAGTATCGGATGACATCAATCGTTTAGCGAGCGTTCGCACGGACGCGAAAACGCTAGGCGGTAACTATGTGTCAAAATAGAACGTATGGGATTGTATGAAGCTGTTCATAC